TTTTTAGATGGGTTTATTTGTGGTGAATATAAAGTATAAAGTTTCCTTTCGTTACTCCTCGTCAGTGTTTGACCCCCCCCCCCCATGGCCTCTGTCTTCACGGTGACCTAGCGTTCATCTCTTGTCAGCGTCTCTCCTGTTTTTACAGTCTAAACAGTGTTTGAATGGAAGCAGATACAGTGAGAGAGGTGTGTGTTTGGGAGATATTAACGCTGTAATGAAAGACAGATGCTGTAACTCTCTGTCCTCCCAAAGTTACACACAAACACATAAATAAGGCTATTTAGTCTCTTCTTTTAGTTCAAAATAACACACACACACACACACAATGGCCTCCTCCTAAGAAACAGATCCACTGCTTTGGCTGCTAAATAGTTTACTGTGTTTACGTCTTACTGCTGTAGGAAAGGAAGTTTTAATGAGGCCAGTGCGAGCTGTAAATGTTTTCCTTCGGTCTGTTCCCACAGGCTGCAGACAAGCTTGCTGGGTTTCTACAGTGGTGTCGAGCTTCTTCTGCCATGGCCCACTTTGGAATCTGAAGAAAAAGTTTTATCCCTTTTTAATGATTATGATTTTCAAAAACACATTTGAATTTTACCTGAACAACAGTCGGGTTAGAGCTGCAACATCCCACCTACAGTGACTCAGTCTGAGAACAACAGAATGAAGTGATGATCCTAAAATGGCCTTTGCTGGGTGGGAGTATTTATGTGTCTCTCTTTGTCTTCACCCCTGTGATATATTGGTGAGTTAACCCAGGTGTGTCCTGTCTGTGCAGGGATAGGCTCCAGCTCCACTTCATTCTGACCAAAGCGATTAAGAAAAAAGGATGAATTTAGTAGGCAAATAAAGATACCCACTGTGCCACAGTAACCATGGTGTAGCTAGTGGGCAGTGGAAGGAAAGTGCAGGATTAGGCATGTCCATTCAAGAAAATCAGTCATCTCTAAGAGCTTACCATCTAAGGTAAGACCTGGACACTGTTGGTGGGTAGCTTGGTGACATCATCCATGATACTCAGTTATACACAGTTTATTTATTGTCAGTGTGTTGGTGTGATGGACACAGGGATTATGATGGTCACAGGAATTATTAGAAAAACCAGGGTTTCCATTTAACCCCCAAAAATTATATTTACAAAAATAACAAACGTTGAGCTCATAAAAGAGGTCAAAGAAACAACTCTAAACTCAGCCCAAACAAACATAACTGACCTAAACAGGAAATGACACACAAGGGTTTATATAATGGCTGATCAGACCACTATGACACATGAGGGGTAACTACATAAAACGCAATCATAAACCACAAAAATTATGCAGTACAGCCTGGTTTGTTTATAAAGTCAACACCAAAGAAGAAAGTCAAAATCACTGAACCCTAAACTCAAATATGTAATCAAATACAAAAGCTTTTTTTTAACATTGTCTCCTTCAGCAGGAAGTGGTGGTGCGGTCCAATTATCCCTCTTTGTATTTAAGGGCTTTAAACCCTGGCCTCCACCTTTTGTCTGGTAACTCTCAGGGATCATGGCAGGTAAGCAGCAAGTAAAAGAAACAAAGCTTAGTCAAACAAAGTAATGAACTGGTATAAATACATAACCTAAATGTGCACGCTTACAAAAAGAGCAAATGTATCCAAACCAATCAATAAACTTATTGGAAACTAAAGTGTGTTCTTGTGTTCAAATGAAGAAATGAAAATACAAGAGTTACCGACTTTCGAGTGTGGCCGTGGGTTTGGCCATCACAGTTGGCAAATTGAAGCTTTGGTGTGAAAGCACAAGCTGCCAGCAGCACTGCAGTTAGATGAACGGTGTCATTAATAAAAGTGTTGATCATCCTGCACCCTGACACTCCTTTCTGTCTCAGGCTGTCCTCCACTCAAAATGTTAACAGCTCCTGTTGTGTTGGCTCCCCTAAGAAGTACCAGCTCTGTTCAAAGCAGGTATGATATTGATCCTTTACTGATTGATTACAATAAGGAAACGGTAGAAATAAGTATTGAAGCTTTTGTCTGTGTTTGTTCGTTTTGTGTATGTATTTGTTTTGTAGCCGTGTCCCAGCACCAGTGTTAGCTTCAAGCAGCACCAGTGTTCCCAGTTCAACTCTAAAGCCTTTGGAAGGAGATACTATCAGTGGATACCCCTGTACCCAGGTCAGTGTCATGTGTCAGTTCACTTTCATCATCTACGTTTGACGATGCAACAGTAGATACAACATGTGAAGATTGTGTATTTGACACGATGTAGCCAGTACAATTTGTTGATGTTGTTAAAGAAATGCTTTCTTAAATGTGTCCTTCCCCATGTAGCCGATTACATCAGCATCTCCAATAGACCATGTGACCTGCAGTGTACCACCATCAGTGGTGAGCGACAGCTGCTGGTTCCTGCCCACGATGGCACCTCCTGTCGGGATACTAAAAACCATGGAGTGTGTATCGAGGGGATGTGTCAGGTAACCAACCAGAAAAAGTTCAGATGCTTTTTTACTGTAGAAAATCTTAATGAAATATTTTCAACATCATAGAAAATACACTCATTAGCTGCTTCGTTAGCTTGTACGCCGCCTTGTACGCCGTGGTGTTCATTCAACAAGGCGCTCAGACTTTTTCGTCTACTTTGGCAGGATGGCACAAGTGCTGCAGCTTTGTGGTCAGCATTTTCATGATGTTCCACTACATCCCACAGCTGCTCTGTCAGACTCATTGTGCTCGTCATGCATGATGCTTTTAATTTACCGCCGTGATTTCTCAGGCAGTCTGAGATGATATGAGCTGTTTGGTTCGAGTATCTGTTAGAGGAGGGTAAACTCTGCAGAGGAGGACGCAGCTGCTGTCAGTACTGAGGCATGCTGGGAACAGCCTTCACCTTTCAACACATGGTTTCACTTCACTATAAAGAAGTTCTTTGTATGTTCTGCCGTCGCTGTAGTAGGGGGGGAGCTAAAGGAGCTGACATTCATGACCTTTCTTCTTGAACCCAGATGTGGGGGCAGCTGACTGCCCTGTTGGGCTCCACGTCACCTTTCCTCCCCACTCTGACATGTGGTTGAACTCGGCTGTGTTTAAAAGTGTGCTTTAAAGAGCAAAACATGTGAACACCTTCACCCAATCACGTGGCTTGGAAGAATATATTTCCTGGTAGTAAAAATTCAAGTCAGGTGTTTCTGGTTGTTGTGAGAAAAAGCTGCATGAGTGTTGTCTCTGAAGAACAAACAGTGTCACATGTATGTGTATTATGTCTGCTCCTCTGTTCCAGCCTGTGGGGTGTGATGGGGAGCTGTACAGCAGTAAGACTGTAGACAGATGTGGTGTGTGCGGAGGAAACGGGACATCGTGCCAGCGGATCTCTGGATCCTACAGGATGGCACTCACACAGTTAGGTAACACACACACAGATAACCACATTCAACATATCTAACTGGCACAGGACGAGCATTTAGTGATTGTTTCACTCATCAGACAGCTCAAGGAAACCATTATCTTTACAACCACCTCAGCGAAATCCACTGCACGGTGTCCTGTAAACATGTGTCGTCATAGAAGCCTGAAACCGGGGTGGATGACTCCATGATGTCTTCACCCCCTTCTGCTGGTTTGTTACTACGCTGCCCGCCAGCAGGCTGCCCGCCAGCAGGACTCTCGAAGCGAGGGAAGCTTTTTCAACATATTTTTTAATGCCTTGATTTTGCCTGCAAGGAGCCAGACTTTGTAATCTTTTTTTTAAAAATTGGTCTTGAACATTAATGTTCTTGAATTTATGAGTTTTTATTTGGACACGGGAATGTTTTTCAGTCAGTTAAGTAACTTTACATTGATCCGACATCATTCTGTTTTTACACATAACAGAAAACTTAGCAAAGAAGACATTTTAAATTGCATCTGTAGGCAATTTATTGCTAGCAACACATACACCAGTTTGTTCTTAGTTGGACCAATGAAAAATGTTGTTTGACAGCATGGTTTTGTACCAACACGGCTTCCCAAAGAGATATTGCCATGAAACTTGGCATATTGCAACATGGTGTAAAGTACGTTCTTAAAACATCAGAAGAAACAGGAGAAGTTAAGGACAAAAGAAGTGGCACACCTGAAATTCTACAGCAGATGAACAGTTATGTCCTTCAGTAATAAGGAAAATATCCAGCAAAGACCTGACAGGATCTGAGAAATGCATCTGACCCTTCGGCTGATTCATTTACTTTCCACAGAAGCCTCATTAGACGTGCTCTGAATGGAAGGACGGCTGTCAAGAAGCCACTGTTAAGGAACAGAAAGAGGGAGAACAGGCTGAAGTATGCCACATTAGAACTGGACTGGAAATCGCAGGCAACGTAACTCTTATGGAGTGATGGATCCAAACGGACTGGATCTAATCAGGAGTCCAACTGTCTACAGCCATGTTTCAAAGATGTTGGAGGCAGACGTCGACGCATGGTGTAATCCCATCGTGTGATGCAGTACCAGTGCATTAAAAACATACTTAGATGGGTTAGCCTTCGCCAGAGATCTGTCCTCACCAGACTCAGTCCTCGTATTCACAGAAATGTGTTCCTGCTGATAAACTCTTGGAGTGTTTTTTCTTTCCAATTGTGTTGCAGTTTAGTGACAAGTTTGTTTTTGTCATCAGGTTATGTGTTTATCACCAACATCCCAGCTGGAGCTTCAGACATTCAGATCATAGAGAGGCACAAGACGGAGAACATCCTGGGTGAGAACGTACAGCTTCTTTAAGGTCAATATCATCAGGGACCATGAGGGACCATGGTTCAATATCATCAAATATATG